TACTTACCCAAGCATTTTTAATAGGAAGAAGGCCAATGTTTTACAAAATATTATTCAGCTTCATTTACCTATTAACAGGGACCACTTGCAAGAAAGCTATTACTTTTGGTAAAACTGGTGGACAAGCTTCTGTCCTTCACGGTCAACATTTTGAGAAGTTTCCCACAAAAGTCAAGTCTTTAGTTTTCACACTTCTTGCCTGTTCTACTATTGCATTTTAGAAAAGAATTGCAATCTTCCAGATTGCATAAAATACGTTATCAGAATTGATGTTGGCTGTGGTTCCATGAAATGCAAAGCTATAATTCTGATTTACTGATAAAGAATTGTATTCCAAGATAAAAGGACAAGCGAAAATATTATTTTGCTGACAAAGCTATGTATGTATTTCCCTGAAGCAGCTAGCTATTGTTACAAAAAAAAAAAAAGATTTGGCTGGGTGCATTATCTGTTTTGCTTGATTCCTTTTGCTACCTTGAATTTTTAAACAAACTAGAAATAATTTATTTAGTACATTATCTGTTTCGTTGCTCCTTTAAAAACAAAAACTATAATCCAGGTTATTTTCTAGATCAGGGGTCAGCAACCTGTGGCTCTGGAGCCACATGTGGCTCTTTCACTCCTCTGCTGCGGCTCTGTCACTCAAAATATGCATCACAACTGCCAATTTGTGACACCTGCCGGCACGCAATTTATTGAACTTTTCAACTTCTGGTAGGCCAACCATGGATAAGTCCAAGAAAAGAAAAGTTTCAGAAGAAAACAGAATGTTTTATTCAACTACATACGCTAGTTTTGTGGCTGCTCAAGAAATAGTCAGGCATGGGAAGAGTTTTTGTGGCTCCTGGTGTTTTCTTTTCCGTGGGAAACGGGTCCAAATGGCTCTTTGAGTGTTTAAGGTTGCAGACCCCTGTTTTAGATTAAGGATTCTGGCCTATTATAAGTGGGGAAGAACTGAGTTGGAACCACATACATCTAATTTTTTTAAACAGCTGATTTCACCAATGAGATAAGCCAAAAAGATGTCACAAACTGTGAACCTCAGCACATAGCCTGTTCTCAAATCACGAAATTTTCCAAGCACATCTATGCTCACAATTGTATTTATTCATGGCTGGAAACCCTTTATGGTCGTTTTGCTGAAAATGGGAAAAAATGAACTTGTGGTCTTTGGGTTTTGATGACTAGAAAGAGAAAATGGAAGAAGGGAATTATGATATAATCTTAAAAAGGGTAGGCAGACAATAAATGATGTATCTGTAACAGGTATAACAAAGATTGGAAGTAAATCCTTTATACATTTTCTTTTTTTGTTCCTCTATTTTTTTCTCACTCTCTTTCATTCATATTGTTAAGTTTGTTTTTAATATTACATAAAGCCTCTTCCTAAAAATTATTTTAAAAAACAAACAAAACCAACCCAAACATATCTGTTTGGTCAATAAAACCCAACCCATGAGTTTCAAGAAGCCTATGATAAAAAATTTAGTTTTCTGGGTTTGTTTCTAAGAAAACCATTGCATCATCAGATCGATTGCAGCCAAAATAAATAATCCCGAAAGACATTAAAAAGAACAAAATGGCTTATATAATTCCTTATAGTTTGTCATCACAGCCATAGCCTTTGCTTCTCTTCTGTTGAAATATTACCCATTCAGGATGTTCCTTGCCACTGATACGGAACTAACCATAAATCTAATGTCAAGCCAGGCTAAACAGAGAGAGCCAACGAGAGGAACAGGAGTCCAGAGTGCCAAACCTTGAACTCTAGTTCCTTGCCACCATTTTTTATGTCTCTTTCTCGCTCTTTGACCTATTGGATTTTCTCCCTTGCTGTAGATTCCCCAAGGACAGTGATTAATCTCTGAAGCTATATCAGAATCCACGCTCAAGATCCTGATAAAATAACCAGTGATTATTGATAATAAAATATAAACTAGTTTTGGTTTCCTTTTCTTAACTGGCGCTTTCAGTTTGTATGTTCTTAAAGGTTAAAGGGACACGATGGCTCAGTGGCTAAGACGCTGAGTTTGTCGATCTATAGGTCGACAGTTCAGCAGTTCGAATCCCTAGTGCTGCGTAATGGGGTGAGCTCCCGTTACTTGTCCCAGCTTCTGCCAACCTAGGAGTTCGAAAGCATGTAAAAAATACAAGTAGAAAAGTAGGAACCACCTTTGGTGGGGAAGGTAACAGTGTTCCGTGCGCCTTTGGTATTTTAGTCATGCCAGCCACATGACCCCGGAGACGTCTTTGGACAGCGCTGGCTCTTCGGCTTTGAAATGGAGATGAGCACCGCCCCCTAGAGTCGGGAACAACTAGCACGCATGTGCGAGGGGAACCTTTACCATTTAATTTTAAGATTGCCTGGTTAATTGCGCAAACATAAAATACAGGTTGTCCTTGTATTTTACAACCTGTACAACCACAATTGAGCCCCAAATTACCATTGCAAAGCAAGGCAGTTGTTAAATTTTGCTCCTTTATTACTAACTTTTTTGCCACATTTATTAAGTAAACCACTGCAGTTATTAAGCGGAACATGCAGTCATTAAATGGATTCCCCCATTGACTTTGCTGATCAGAAGCTGGCTGTGAGGATTATAAATGATGATCGCATTTTTTATTTATTTTGCGTTTCACATGACCCCAGGACAATACAACTGTCATAAATACATGCCAGTTGTTAATTACCCAAATTCTGATCACATGACCATGAGGATGCTGTAGCGGTCATGTGAATAAACATAAGAAGTCACTTTTTTTCAGTACCACTGTAACTCGGAAAGATCACTAAACAAAGGGTTTCAAATTACTTGTAATTTGTAATTTGAACTACTTGTAAATAAAAAAAAAATTAAAAGAAAAACAAACTAAATGTGCCTTGCGATCTAATTGGGATGTAACAATTTGGGTTTCTCACTTTTCTCTCCACTTATTTTTCTCTTAATTCTCTTTCACGAGAATCTTACTATATTTGCTTTCTAGATTTTGGAACAATTGGCATCTTAATTGACATCAAACTTCATTAAAAAAAAATGATCTGAGAAACCAGTGGTGATAAGGACCTGTTCAATTTTGAGGGAAATTTAACCTCATATAGAGTAGTTTTTGTCCAAACTACATAAGCAAACTCTGGAAACCGCAATATTCTCGGGCTTTCCATTCTCAAACAGTGAAGGGAAAAATAATAATTTCAGTTTTTACAGACAGAAGGATATAGAAACCACATCAAAACACGGTTGATGAGCAATCTGGGAAGTCATAAAAAGACAGTCTCCTTTCATATTAAAAATGACTCAAGTTTTCTTTTGCCTCAAATTAGTTCAGAGAAAATTTTCAGTTTTCTATATGATGCATCATATTAACACACACTTCAAATGGATGCTCAATTTTTCACTCATCCCTTGCTTCCTTCTTTGCATGTTCTAACTTACACATACTAGCAACAAAGGCAAAAAGTCATTTCAGACATGAATTCAAATGCCTTCTTGAAAGCCTAATGGACACAAATGTACACACACACACCCTGAAGCAGATTGACAAAAGCACTAATTTACTTCATAGGTTGCAAAGAGCAGATTGAACCAGAAAAATCTTTTGCAATCCGGTGGTCTCCTCTGAGATTCTTTAGGACTTCCAACTCCCAGAATTCCTAGCTACTCCTGGCATACAGTGGGGAGGGTTGTAGGTGATAGAAGGCTAGACAAAACCAATTCTCCTGCTCATATATGGGAAATTTAAGTTGCTTGCAACCTCAGCCTACCTTGCAGGGCTGTTATGAATAAAGAAGCAGGTGGGATAAAATATGCAAATTAAATCTGGTAGGATCTTTCAGTCTAAAGAAGCTAAATAGCTGTTTCCATGCTACTTCAGGAATGTGACTGATCAATAATGGTAATGTACTTGCCATGATTTCCACCTCTGGTGCCCAGTTCTTAAACCCCTAAACTGGACCCTTTCTCAATTTTCTCTCCCACCCAAAACCCGAAATGCCCACTTGAGATCTCTTTTCCCACAGCTGAGGCTAGAGCTCAGCAGCAAAGAAGTAAGGAACCACAACACGCCTGAAAAGAGGAGCTGGAGAACACCCCCAAAGGTAGGCAGGTTAAAATAACTCACTATTAAAATTGGGACCTAGTTTCAACTCTGGGGCTCCTGGTTCATGCACTGCTTGGATGGAAAAGCTATTACTACTAAGATGATGGTGGCAATGATGAAAATGTTATAGAAGAAAGCAGACCAAGGGAGACCAGGAAAGGTCACAGTTGTAGTCTTACACCAATGTTTCTCAAACTTGCCCACCCACTTTATGATGTGCGGACTTCAACTCCCAGAATTCTCCAGCAGCTGGCTAGGGAATTCTGGGAGTTGAAGTCCACACCATCTTAAAGTTGCCCAGGTTTGAGAAACGTGGCCCAAGCCTGAATTCAAAGAACATCAACGAAACACCAAGACAATTACACAAATCTGTCCTTATAGAGAGACCAAAGAGACTGGAGGTCAGCTAAAGGGCGAGATTCCATACTAGCAGCCACCGCAATGCTACATAATATAACAGTTATAATCTACCCAACCGCTCATACTTCTTCCGAGGATTATCCCCAGATTATTTTACATTGTAAATTTGTAAAAATCTTACAACATCAAAAACAAAAAGAGATTTTTAAAATTTAAAGGGGGGGGGTTCCTTCTCGAATTGCTTCCTTTAAAAAAAAAAAAAAGATGCTGAAAAAACATCCGCTGATTGTTTCCACCCACCCCATCTCCCCAAAAGCCGGGACTCCTTAAAATCGCTTTCAACACCCCGAGGCCATCTAGACGAGTCGGATGACTACTCCGAACTGCGGCCGGGGATAATGGGAGTTGTAATCCAGACAAACCAGAAAGCAGTCATCGATGCAGATGGACCCTAAATTGTTCCACCGAGCACTTTCCCAGCTCCCGCAACCCATCTCCCCCCCGGAGCAACCCGGTTCAAGGTAACGTTTTCCCACGCTGACCTTTCTTCCCGCTGGTTGGCCATGGATGCGAGTCGGTGACTTCTTTTTTTCTTCTTCTTCTTTTTTTTTTTCCCGCCGCTTCCGAAGGTTCCTCCAGGGAATCGCGTCGCTCTGCGGGAGAACGGAGGCTCGGCCGGCCTTCTAAACAGAAAGAACGTGTCGTCACAATCACGGCGGCCAATCGGGGGGCTCCCTGTGCCGGCAACAAAGGTTGCCCCGGGCGACCCCGGCGTTCTCGTCACACCAAAGGGTTACGCTCCGCCCACTTCATTCATAATCCTCAGGAGGCGCTTCTGCCCCGCCCACGCCCACCCACCCCCAGGCTGGAGGCGCGCGGGAGGAGGGAGCGGAGAGGAGGCGCACGTGGTGAAGCGAGGCTTTGCACTGGTGCTTCTCCCCGGCACGCGCGGCCGGCGAGGTTGCGAACGCACGTGGACGCCGGAGCTGCTGCTGCTGCTGCTTCCTTCCCAAACCCTCGCCGGCTTCCAGAAATCCACGTCGAGATAATCTGAATAATAGACGCTCCATATTAATAACATCCGCGGGAACATTTTCCAGAGAGGGGGAAATTCCCCACATGGGTCATCACTTTTTTCCCCCTCGCCTAAGTTTCCTGGAAAACTTCCCGATTTTTTTTAATGTTTTTTTTTAAGTCGATTTTATTTTTAGAGTGTCTGGCTGTGCTTATGGGAAGGGGGTGGGGGGGGGAATCCGGAAAGTGGGGAAATGGAGAAGTGGGGGAAATCCGGAAAGTTTTGCATGCTGTCTGGAGAAAGGCGAGGTTCTTTTTCTATTCTTCCTGGCTTCCCCATTGGCTCTAATACTAGGAGAACAAGATGAGATAAAACAAGAAAAGACAAGGCAACCTGGCACCCGTGATGGGTTGCTATCGGTTCACCCTGATCGGGGAACCGGTAGCCGCTGGAGGCTCTGCTCACCCGCCTGGAAATCTCTGCATATGCGCAGAAGTGTCACACCCAAGCACCCACAATGGAACCGGTAGTGACAGGTTTTGAAATCTGCCTCTGATATATGTATGTATGTATGTATACATCAGAGGTGGGTATCAGCAGGTTCTGACCAATTCTGGAGAACCAGTAGTGGAAATTTTGAGTAGTTAAGAGAACCAGTAAATACCACCTCTGGCTGGCCCCACCCCCATCTATTCTCTGCCTTCTAAGTCCCAGCTGTTGGGGGGTGGGATTGAGGATTTTGCAGTATTCTTCCCTTGCCACACCCACCAAGCCATGCCACGCCCATTAAGTCACGCCCACAGAACCAGTAGTAAAAAATTTTGAATCCCACCACTGGTATACATATATATATATATATATATATATATATATATAACTTAAGAAGATATATATATATATATATATATATATATATACACACACACACACACACACATACATATATACATATATATGCATATATGTGTGTGTGTATGTCAAGGCTATGGTTTTCCCAGTTGCAATGTGTGGCTGTGAAAGTTGCACCATAAGGAAGGCTGAGCGTCAAAGAATTGAGGTCTTTGAACTCTGGTGCTGGAGAAGACTCCCGCGAGTCCCTTGGACTGCAAGGCAATCAAACCGGTCAGTCCTAGAGGAGATCAACCCTGACTGCTCTTTAGAAGGCCAGATCCTGAAGATGAAACTCAAATCCTTTGGCCACCTAATGAGAAGGAAGGACTCACTGGAGGAGAGTCTAATGCTGGGAACAATTGAGGGCAAAAAAAGGGGACGGCAGAGAATGAGGTGGCTGGATGGAGTCACTGAAGCAGTTTGTGTGAGCTTAAATGGACTCCAGAGGATGGTAGAGGACAGGAAGGCCTGGAGGAACATTGTCCATGGGGTCACGATGGGTCGGACACGACTTCGCAATTAACAACAACAAAATATATGTATATGTGTATGTGTATCAGAGTTAAAAGTGACTTAGGAACGGTTCTTGTGCTCACCACCATTTCATATAATGATTTAAGCATTTGGCAACCAGCATGCATTGTACAATGGTTGCAGCATCCTAAGGTCACATGATCTCCATCCGCAACCTTCCCGGCCAGCTCTTGTTGAGCAAAGTAAATGGGGGAAGCCAGATTTGCTTAATAGCCGCAATGATTGCTTAATTGCTTAGGACAAAAAAAGATTGTAAAATCAGACACAATGACTCACTTAGCAACCACTTAGTGAATGGAACTTCCTGGTCCCAATTGTGATTGTAAGGTGAGGATTACTTGTATGTTGATTTGATTTGATTTATTACATTTGCTTTCTTCATCCAATAGTTCTTTTTTATAAAGCACAGTTATATGTGCTGCTTTGCAAAGAGATCTTTCCAGAGATTATAGCCCACATTCTCCAAGACGTGGTGACTTAAAAGACAAAATGTTAAGAGTTGCACCTCAAATATCAAAGCTGATTCACACTGACCATATATAAGCAATTGTGGGCCTGACTTTTTCCACGTTGTGGGAAACTCATCCTAGAGGAGAGGATGAGTTGAGTCAGCTGAAGAAAAGTTGAAATTATATAAAGTGACAGGGTTCACATATCACATTAGAAAATTAGAAGAATGGCTGTGGGGTTTGGGTTTGGCTAGTCTAAAGAAAAAAAGAATTAGGGGGTGACATAATAGCAGTATTCCAGTACTTGAGGGGCTGCCAAAAGAAGAGGGGGTCAAATTATTCTCAAAGCACAGGAAACGATGGCTGGAAACTAATCAAAGAGAGAAGCAACCCGGAATTAAGGAGAAACTTCGTAACAGTGAGGACAATTAACTAGTGGAACAGCTTGCCTCCAGAAATCATGAGCGCTCCAATCACTGGAGGTTTTTTTAAAAAGTCTAGACAGTTATCTGAAATATTATAGGTTCTCCTGCTTGAGCAGAGGGCTGGACTAGAAGACCTTCTAGGTCCCTTCCAGCTCATTCATTCATTTATTCAGCCCTGCTTAAACATTGGTACAGGTAATTACAACAGGTACAATGACCAGTCTTAGAACTGATAATAAAGATGTGGAAATGGCAAAGAGCATCTGCCTTTTAGGATCAACCATCAATAGTAAATGAACAAAGCAGTCAAGAAACTAGTACACTGCAGACTAATACTTGGTAGAGCCTCCATGAAGCCCTTGAAAAAAAGGTATTCATATACAGGTAGTCCTCGACTTACAACTATTCATTTAGTGACCACTGGAAGTTACGATGGCACTGAAAAAAAGTGACCTTACGAACAAAATGTTAAAAAGTTGTGATATTTATGTAGTTACTTATCAAGCACATCTAAATTGTATTAAAGTAACGAAAATATATTTGCAATCCCCAAGGCATGTCACAACTTTTGAGCACGCCTAGTGTTTGGAAATTGAAAGTTGAAAAATTTGACAAGGTATCCCCATGGTCACGTGATCAAAATTCAGATGCTTGGCAACTGACTCATATTTATGACTGTTGCAGTGTCCCGAGATCATGTAATCACTTTTTGGTACCTTCAGTGGGGAAGCCAGATTCACTTAACAACCCTGTTATTAACTTAACAATTGTAGTGATTCATCTAACACCTGTATCAAGTAAGATCATAAAATGGGGCAGAACTCATTTAATAACTGTCTCCCTTAACAACAGAAATCTTGATTGTCAGAAGGTTGCAAAAGGTGGTCGCATGACCCCAGAACACTGCAACTGTCATAAATACATGCCAGTTGCCAAACATCCAAATTTTGAACTCAGGACCATGGGGGTGCTGCAATGGTCCTGTGGAAACAGGTATATTACTTTTTTCAGCGCCATTGTAACTTTGAACAGTCCCTAAATGAACTGTTGTAAGTCGAGAACTACCTGTATTTTCTTCCAGGATTTTTTGTTTCCCAAAAATACAGAAAGGGGATTTCCTAGTGATCTCCTTGATAATTTCTAACCTGGTCCAACCCTGTTTAGCTTTGCATGGCCAGCTAAAGTTGACTAGATGTCATCACTTAGCTGGGCACTATTTGGAAGAATGGGCCATTAAAACCAACCAGGCCAGGCACCTCTGATGGTGTAGTCCCATGACGTCAAACCTATGGCACACGTGCCAGAAGTGGCGCGCACAGCCATCACTTTGGTCACGCCAGCCGTCGTCTGTTGCTCTTCCAGGGTTGCGCCTGCCAGATGGTCTTTGCATATGTGGGAGCGCTGGAAACCGGAAGAGCAGCTCCCTGGTGTGCATGCGCGCATTGAGAACCTGAGCTTCCGGTTTCCAGTACGCATTGTCTTCACATGCGCATGGACACCAGAAACCGGAAGACCAAGTGACCGGTGCACATGTGCAGACCAGAAATCGGAAGCTTAGCTCAGGAACTGCTCTTCTGGTTTCCAGCACTCCCATGCTTGCGCGCCAGGAAGCTGCTGTTCTGGTTTCCAGTGCTTCACCCTGCCACCCGTATGTGCTCCTATTTTGGCCAACACTGGTGTAGTCCAGGGGTGGGCAACTGTGGCCCTTTTACAACCAGCTTGGCTGTCTCAGGAATTCTGGGAATTGAAGTCCACAGGTTGTAAAAGGGCTACAGTTGCCCACCCCTGATGTAGTCCATGCTTAAGATCCCAGCGCACTGGCAGTTGCCTGAAACAAAGTTGAGTTGCAACCCAGGCTCAACAATCAAAGGGAAAAAAATCAAACCGGTGTAAGACATTATAGATGTTGTAAGTTTTTGTTTTATCTCCTGTAGTTACCTGCCTGCAATTAAAGATTTACCTGAGGGCTTCATTTTAGCTGGTTGGATCACTGGTGTCTATCACACACATCCGGGACAGGATCCAAGGCTACCAAATACATCAGAGTTGAATCAGTGGATAATGGGAGTGCGTGGTTTTATCAGCTGCTTAGCAGTCAGACATAGCAGGATATTGGGAGAAGGTGATGGATTTTTTCACATCCTGGAAGCAGCAGCAGGTATCAGAAAGAGGTTGACTATCTGTTGTGTGCCTGACAGTCACCAATGTCCTGATGAATAATATGTGATACTGACTCAGTCCAGCCTCCCAAGGACCCCACCATGATCCTGCATGGTATCTCAAGATACATCGTGAGTTGGAGGACTAGTCTTCTCACATGGGTCAACGAAAGGAGCATCCAGGACAACCCTGCTGTCAGTCACATGGAACTCT